CAAGTCCTCTTTTTTGTTGTTGTCCTGCCAAGGGTGCAGCTCGCCCTGGGGTCAGCGACAGCATCATTTTTCAAAGCCAAAAAATTGGTCTTTCGAATAGAAAAATGCGCAAATTATTTAAATTCTGTAGCGCTCGAAAAAAAAGCGCGTTGCAGCATTTATCAACAGTGACATTTCCAAAAAAAAAACAGGAAGAAAAAAAGGAAATCACTAATGACGTCACCCGTTCCGTCTCACCTATCCTTATATGCAAATCAATGCCCCGAGTCAGCCGCAGGCTAGGGACCTTGAAGGTTGAGACACGCCCGTCAATGCCTGCATCTTCCTTTTTATTCTTCCTATCTCCCTCGTTCCCTGGTCTATTTGTTTATCTATTTTACATATGCAGGCTTTGTGACGTTTTGTGCGCATTGTGCAGGACTTAAATAAATATTTGTTCATTAGTCACGTTCAATAATTTTTAATATTAACATTTTTGGTTTTGTTTATGATTGTAAGAGAGTTGAGAGAAGACGCAGCTGTGCCTTAATCGATCCAGTTGGCATTTTTAATATGAGACGAGAAGTTCAGGCATTATTATATCCATTCCTTACCCTCAAATACTAGGTTTCTAGGAAGAAGATTTATAGATGATATATATTACGGTCTTCAGTAGCTGATGTCAATTGTCGTTGGAGTTAAAGCTTTCTATATAATGTGGTAGATTGCATTTTAGCATTTCTTTGCAACGTTTCAATTACTAAACAATTCAATACTTTCAATAAAAAGAGAGATCCCAGAACTTTGAAAGTTCTAGAACTTTGAAAGTTCTAGGATCTCTCTTTTTTTACATACTTTATACTTTAATTTGATTAAAAGGGCATTGTTAATTACGTTGTTTTAATATTAAAATGATTGCAACAACGTTTTGAAAGTGTGCTTTTTCAAAAATCGAGAAAGCAGTGCCTTAAGAACCATACATAGGAACCAAATTGAATTAATAAATTTTTCCTAAATATTATACTTACTATAATAATCGGTATTACTTTCATAACAAATTCAACCAATCTTCAAAATGTAGTCAAGTAGTCGAAATGAAATGACAAATATTAAAAGTTATTTGAAGAAGAATATGTTCTTCAAAATTTTTAAAAAGTTTGAGAAAACTTATAAGTTTGCCTTTTCCCAGACTAGACCATAGGTGTTAATGGTATTTAATCTATTTTAATTCTATTTAAAAAAAAAATTGAAATCTATAGCGCTCGAAAAAAAAGCGCGTTGCAGCATTCATCAACAGTGACATTTCCAAAAAAAAAAACAGGAAGAAAAAAAGGAAATCACTAATGACGTCACCCGTTCCGTCTCACCTATCCTTATATGCAAATCAATGCCCCGAGTCAGCCGCAGGCTAGGGACCTTGAAGGTTGAGACACGCCCGTCAATGCCTGCATCTTCCTTTTTATTCTTCCTATCTCCCTCGTTCCCTGGTCTATTTGTTTATCTATTTTACATATGCAGGCTTTGTGACGTTTTGTGCGCATTGTGCAGGACTTAAATAAATATTTGTTCATTAGTCACGTTCAATAATTTTTAATATTAACATTTTTGGTTTTGTTTATGATTGTAAGAGAGTTGAGAGAAGACGCAGCTGTGCCTTAATCGATCCAGTTGGCATTTTTAATATGAGACGAGAAGTTCAGGCATTATTATATCCATTCCTTACCCTCAAATACTAGGTTTCTAGGAAGAAGATTTATAGATGATATATATTACGGTCTTCAGTAGCTGATGTCAATTGTCGTTGGAGTTAAAGCTTTCTATAGAATGTGGTAGATTGCATTTTAGCATTTCTTTGCAACGTTTCAATTACTAAACAATTCAATACTTTCAATAAAAAGAGAGATCCCAGAACTTTGAAAGTTCTAGAACTTTGAAAGTTCTAGGATCTCTCTTTTTTTACATACTTTATACTTTAATTTGATTAAAAGGGCATTGTTAATTACGTTGTTTTAATATTAAAATGATTGCAACAACGTTTTGAAAGTGTGCTTTTTCAAAAATCGAGAAAGCAGTGCCTTAAGAACCATACATAGGAACCAAATTGAATTAATAACTTTTTCCTAAATATTATACTTACTATAATAATCGGTATTACTTTCATAACAAATTCAACCAATCTTCAAAATGTAGTCAAGTAGTCGAAATGAAATGACAAATATTAAAAGTTATTTGAAGAAGAATATGTTCTTCAAAATTTTTAAAAAGTTTGAGAAAACTTATAAGTTTGCCTTTTCCCAGACTAGACCATAGGTGTTAATGGTATTTAATCTATTTTAATTCTATTTAAAAAAAAAAATTGAAATCTGTGTGGGTCTTAATATTGTTTCATCTTAGGAAAGTATTCAATTATCAATTAATACAATTGTAGATAGGCTTTAACTGAGGGAGCCAAGGCGTAGGCGGGTGAGGGGGCAACGGGCCTAGAAACATTTTCGCCATGTGAAGTCGGCAACACATTCATTATTATGGCGTACTACTTATTTCGCCTTCTTCTATTGATCATATGCATAAGTTATTAATTTAGCGCATCGTGTATTATTTAATAAATATTTAAATTTTTTGGTCCCCCCTTTGGAAAAAGGTGCCTACGCCCTTGGAGGGAGCTGCTGTTTTAAAAGTTCTACAAATATTGGAACTTTTGGATTAACTATTTAAAAACAACTATACACTTATGGAACCAACTGGATGCAACTTACGATTGAAGTTTCTAGAAGAGTTGGATCAAAAGATCTCTATAAAATAGTGCGCTCTCTTCAGCTTCTAACATAAATGTGATAAGCAACATTCTTCCCTTTTATCCTTCAGACATGTGGCATATCTAGAGAAAGAAGCCCCTAAGAGCGAGCACGAGAACTTACAATTTACGTTTTGAATTTATTTCTTTTAACCAGTTCTTCCATTTGCACTCTTCTCAAGCGCCACACTTTAACTTCGAACGTGACGCAGCTACTCCCCAGCTCCCCGATTCCGTGTCTTGGACACTCACCAGATGTGGCTGCTTGTAAGAGAATCGCAGAGCTGCCTATTTTCGTAAGATGATTGCGAATCTAACGCAAATGAATCGGCAACCACGAGCAACCGGTTTGACTAGAAACCGAATCTTCACTTAAATTGTATGTGGCGGCGAATGTTTCTAAGCAAAAAAAAAAAAATAAAATAAAAGCAACAATAATGAACGAGCAGCCTTTGTGCATGATAGAGGAACAAAAAATGAGTTTAAATTTTTAATGGCCTGCTTCCTTGGCCCCACCGATGTCGCAGCAGCCCGCCACCTGGCAGTCAATCAATCATTTTGTTTCTTCTGCCATTGCTGCCACTTGCCAAACATTTTCGACTGTCGATTCCTCATTTGGCGCAGAAGCGCAAATATAAAGACGCTGATTTTCTAATCCCCCCCTCTCCCAATACCCCTTCCCTGCTTGACCAACAGTTAATTTTGGCACAAGTCAACCTGTTTGAAGCCGGAGTCCCCCCGACTTGAACTCGCAGCGTCTGTAATTAAGTAAATTAATTAATTTTAAGCAAACGAAACAACTTTTTGATATGAAAATGTTCGTATATTGATTATGAATTTTAAACAAAATTTCGCATTTGCGAATTTTGCGAATTTGTTTGATTATTATTATATTTATATTGGGGACTGTATAATTTGGCATGCCAAATAAAGTTGTGTGTTTCTCTTTAAATAAAAAAGTGATGTAATGTTTGCATATTTTGTAGAGTTTAATTGGACACATTTGTTTAATGCCTAATAGCCCATTTGTCATTATTATTTTTGAAAACCTTTTGCCAGCGTTTTGATTATAATTATTTATGGGATTGAATTATCAAAAAAGTGCTTCAGCAGATTTGTTGGGCGAACATTTCCTTCTAAATATATAATTATACTAAATAAGTATTCGAATCTACAATTCCAGAAAAGGACAAAAAACTACTTATATGATGTTTTATTATTACAGACTATTTATAGAAAAGTATAATAAAATTCAAAAATATTTATAACAGCAATATTTTTAAAGAATGTTAATTTCATCGACAAAAATGTTTTATAGAAAGCTATCTAAAATATTCGTTGTTTATAAATATTTAAAGGTAAAAGCTCTAGATATATTTTCACTAACAAATCAATTTGAATAAAAATGTCGCTCACGATATTTTAAAATTAAGCACAGTGAAATTTTAAAAATAAAAGAGCAACTATATGAGATCATTCAAAGACCACATTTTAGGTTTCACTGCCATAACTAAAACGACTTTTTATTACCCTGCATTCACCCTTTTCCCCGCTACAGCCTTTCAACTCGAACTAACTTTATTCCTTAGGGAGCTACATAGTATATGACATATTTCTCCGTTTGTATAAAACCTTAAATAATCTAAGTTAGATTATTAATAAAGGCAATGTAGAAAGTTCTTAAATATCAGATTTGCTAAGATAAGGATGGAATGATTTCAGCAGCGATCGTTGTTATTTTAGTTATACGATATATTTTTAAGCTATTATTATAATTGTAATTAAAATCATAATTATTGAATTTCACTTAACATATCGTAATAAACAACAAAAATGGTTTGTACTAATATCAATACAGTTCTATGAAATCTATATACAAAGTTGAGGCTATGTTAAAATTTGTATAAATATTTTTATTGTATATTTTGCGTATGGATAAGATAAGTCTACATATCAAGCTTGTTGCTCCCAGCTCTTATGGTAAAAAAGGTATTGGTGTTCAGACAGACGAACAGACAAACGAAAGGCGAGAGGGACAGACGTCCATATCCCTATTGATTTCTTTCTTCCTATATTTTGCTTTTTGTCGTTTAAAGTTTATAAAAGAACACTTTCACGTGGAATTGGTAATATAAAATCCTAAGTATACAGCAGTCAGATCTTAACATGTCATCATAGTTTACTCTGCATAATATACTCTTTTAAACAGTTGCTCAAATTTTTACAATACATATATACATATTTGAAGTTCTTCAATCAAAAAACAATGTCCAAGTTGCTGACGGCGTGTCCCGACGAGCTGCCGAATCCCCACAAGGGCTGCATCCGCGAGATGCTTGACACGCTGATCTGCAATGATAACGATGTGAAGCGTTTGAATACGGAGTTACGGAACATTCAGCTGGAGCTTAAGGCAGAACTGGCCAAGAAGGAGGTGAAATGTGGCGATGAGAAGAATAGGCTGGTTTGCGAGAGCATGGAAGATTTGACGGCTTTTGCGCAAAAGATCGCCAGTGTGGATGAGATAAAGCACCATTATACCAAAATGTGCGAGGACATAAGGAAGCGACGCGACAACATTATCCTTTATGCCCGACAATGCATGCAGGCCTACAATGAGGAGAAGTGCAAGTTCAAGTCCTTCCACGAGAATACCATTGATTATATAAAGCGTACGGCCACTTTGTCGCAGGATCGTGCGGTCATTGCCAATTGCGAGCGGGATATCTGTGAGATGCACAAACGATTCGTCAAGGAGGTTGGAAACATAAAGCGCTGCGAGAACGAACTGAATCCGTTCTTCCAGCTGCTCAAGCAGTCCGATCCGAACACCTATTGTGAGTGCTGCTGTTTCAAGGAATACGATTGGTTGCCGCAGGGTTTGTAGATTTTCCACAACATATTCGTAAAAAGAAACGAGACCTGATTGATTGCCTCTTTGCAGGAAAGAAGATGGATGCGGTTGGCAACATGGGCGACGAGTTGAAGGAGCAGATGGGCCAGGTTTTGGTCAGAGCCTTCGCTCAGCTGCATATGCATATGCCGCAGGATCCACGCAGTTTCATTGCCTCGTATCTCATGAATTTGGATCGCAACGAACAGGAAATGAAGGAGAAACTGGACATATTCCAGAAACCCGGCAAGAACGATCCCGAGTTCAAGGATCCCACTTTTCGCTGTGAAGGCAACTGCGTACGCGAATGATGCTCAAGAACTAATTTCTAAATTAAAATTATTCTGTTAATAATTAGTTAGTGCCATTGTTTTTAAAGTAGGGCAGGAAATAGAAGGTATCTTTTAGATTGTTAAAATTTAATAAATCAATATTAAATAACATAACTTTTGGTCTTAAACTAACTACCAATTTTAACAAGAGAATAACACAAATTTATATTTATTTAACTGTTAATTATAGAATGGAACTACAAAGATAAACTGGATTGGTGCGATCTTGAATCATTGCACTTAAAAAACTGCAATTTTTTTGAGCATACGATAAACAATCTAGATTGAACCGTGTGTGAACGTGTCTGATCGTGAAAGAATGAAAAGTTTTGAGAAATTCTGAAACGTGACAGCTGCTTAAAATATTTTCTGGAATTAGTGAAAAGTTGAAAATACACGACTTCATGAAAATTCATAAAAAATGTGCGAAACTTTTTTTAACCTAAATCAGATAAGAGAAAGTTGAACAGACACTTTTTATTATTAAATCGATTTCTATGCTTTTTTTTTACAATTTCTAATAATAGTCATACTGTAACCTTGTTGATAAATAAATACTGCTGATTGCATCGTTATTATGCAATATAAAGCCCATCACAACAACGAAAACGCATTTTTCACATACAATTTAAAATTTAATTTCACCAAATGTAGGCAACATACTATGTTCTTAGGTTTAAATACTTATCGAATTACAGATTAATAGATATATTTAGCTTTTTAAAGAAAATCACACATTCATAGGTAAATCACATTATCAACGACAGTAATTATTATTTTTGTTGTTGTTTTTTAATGATATATGTATAGCTTCATCTGATTGAGCCAAAAAGAAAAGGCGACTCGCTTGTGGCGTATTTTATTGTTCGGGGCCTTTATCGATTTAATCGCGCGGTTTAATGCTAAAATGAAAAAAAATAAGCGCAGCCTACTCCTTTTTTTTGCGACGATTGGCACGACGAGCATTGGCGCTGCTGCCAGCCATCGGCTCCTTTTCACCAACGCCTGTGATCGAGGCACCTGCTAGCTCAGAGTTGGCCATCTTTTCTTGAGTGTCCAAGAAGAACATGACGTCACGTAATTGCTCCTTGAGTTCGAGAACTTCCTTATCGTGTAGATGCTTAAGCTCATTGAACTGCTGCTCCAGTGCTTTGTACTTGGTGTGCCAGGAGCTCTGATTGTCTTGCAGCGCCTTAGATAATTCTCGTTCTTCCGTTAGCTGCTTCATCACCTCCTTGAGTCTGTTTAAAAAATGTGAATAATTTGACAGATTTAAAGATGAAACAATAATAATAGGTGATCTTAAATCTAGTTTTAAAATTGTATTACTTGGTTGAGTGATGCGCCAACTTGCGCTCCAAATTTTGCTTTTCTTTTTGAATCGCCTGCTGTAGTTGCTGCATTTCGGAGACTTCACTTTTGCTTTCATTGGCATCGGCTTTTAGGCATTGCCACTCTTGTTCCAAACGTGCCATGCGCTCCTCATAATATTTGCGTTGTGTATCTAGCTGGGACGTTAGCAGGTAAGTAAATTCCATTTGCATGGAGTCGATTTTCTCCTCGTTATCATCTTTTTCGTTCTGTGAGGCAACCAGTTTGCCATCGGTTTTGTTTTGAAATAAACGATGCACGAAATTATCGCCAGCATAGTCCCAAACGCTGGAGGTGCCCAGCTGCATGGCAAAGTTGTGATTGGTTGCGCGATAGTGCGCCGCAGCATGGCCGCCCTGGTAACGACCACAGCCCACATGGCCGCAGACTAGACAAATCCAAAGTGAGTCTGTACCTTCGCATTCCATGCAAACGGAGTCCTCGATTAGCTCTGGCGTTTGCACGTGACGGCAAACGGGGCACGTGGAGTCGCCCCACTTCACCAGGCAACTGGCATGGAAAGCGTGATTGCAAAGTATGGTCAAGACGCCATCCACGCTCTCATCCATCCGCTCCAGGCACACTGAAATAGGACAGCTACAAGTTATAAGACTGACTCTAACTATAAACTCATCCGCCCTTACCTGGACAAGTGGGCAGCTCTGTGTGTCCCATCGGTGGCAATCCATTCTCACCACGCTCCACAGAGGACACCCAGACGGCATGGCAGATAGAATCGGGCTCCAACGTGTTATAAGCAGCGCCATTAAAGGAATTGTAGAACTCTAGGGCCGATTCATTGGTACGAAATCTGTTGGATTTCATAGCTTTAATACAATTTCGATTAAGATTTTGCTGCACTTACTCCAACAGCACCATGAATTGGTTTGGACTGCCGTCACGCACAATACGCACATGTTTGATCTCTGAATGGCAAGGTGATATAAACGCCAACAATTCATTGCAGCTTAAGGTAGCTGGAACGGCCAGTAGGCAAAGCTGATTAGAGGGCGCCTCCTTTATAGCTTTACGTTCGCTGCGATGAAATAGAAAGTATTACTTACTCATAATTACTCATAATTGATCAAAATTGTGCTCACTTCTTTTTGTACAAATGAATAATGCCTCTTGTAACCTCCACAGTGGCATTGCCCGAGAAGTAACAGATTTCTTGTGGAAACTTCGAGGTGGCTGTCTGTGGGGGCGACTGTGACTCATCGCCGCTGCGTGGGGTGGTCTCTCGAGAGCTCCCAGCCGAGGGACTGTTTGCCTGCTGGAGAACTGCGGCCCAATTCATTTTCGTACCGTCCGATGAGGCCGCCAAATCCTGATTCCAACGTTGATTTGTGTAGGTCTCGATAGTTATATCGTACGGGATGCGGCGTCCTCTATCGCGTTCGCGCTCCTTTTGAACGCGAGGGTTGGTGGGATGCTCGGCAGATACGGCGCCCTCCTCCTCTATACCCATATGTATGTGTATATATAAATAGTCAGATATACATAGAAAACGTACATTTCAGGTCAACCGAGTGCAATGTTTGCTTTTGTGGTGATACTTACCTTTGTTTGGGTCCAAATCGGTCTCGATTTTAATTACACACAACGAAATGTTTTCTAGCATTACACAAGCATAATTTTCACAAGTTAATATACCAAAAATATGTGAAAACAAAAGGATAATGATTTACTTTTCAACAATGATGAGATGAAGACATACACAAAACAATAAACTATGCCAATGGAACTGGTTACTTTTTTAAACAAACCAATAGAGATGGTCGATTATAAAATAAATGGGCGCAGAATTTGAAAACGAAGTAATACTTGGAGTGTGCATAGAAAAATAACCAATTAAATAAAACAATGCAATTCTGCCCTGCAAATTTGTTGAATTTTATGTTGGGTTGGACTATTCCAACAGTTAATGTTGGTTAATTGCTTAGGCACACAGCTGACAGCTGAACTGGTTTTATTTTGCGTTCGAAAGCTATCGATAATAAGGAAAAAAAATGGTAGCAGCGCCATCTGTAGGTGCGCGGACGAACTTACCTGGACATAAATCCATGTTTAAGGCAAAAACAATGTTTTGGTTTAAATTTTTCCATTTGATTAATTGAGATTGTGTTGCTGAGTTTTATTATCAAAAAGAAAAACATGCTTATGTTAATAATTTTAAAAGTAAAATAAGAAAAAAACAATATAAATGGTATACAATATTTTAAAAAATGAATGCACCATAGCAACAAACTTTAAAATATGTTCTGTTATTATATAACGATAAAAACTTATCATTTATTATTTTAAAGATGTAATTTAGCAATTAAACGTTTTCAAATTATATAAAAAAAAAGGAATATAATTACATGTAAGAAAATTAATAGCTAAATAAACTTGATGTTAAAACGTAAAAAAATAAACTCTTGCTTATAATATTAAATAGTAAGTAAACAGTAAAGTCATGATACTAATGATATTCAAATATGATCTGTTGTTTTTTGTAACGTTTATCCTTCTAAGCTACGCCCAGTTACAAGGGGGACCCCCACTATTCCCCCTTCATGATGAAGTTTCGCTTTCAATGCCGTCGGGTCGGCGGCACTCTGGCCTGTTCGTTCGTTCGCTCGTTTGCTCGTTCTTCTTGGCCAAAACATTTCAGTTAGTTGGTAAGCGGCGCTGCTTCGGCTCGGACGTACTGACAATTTGGCGCGCACGCCGCGTAACTAAACAAAACCGTTAGTCGGAGGTCATAAAAACACTTCGAAAGCGAATGCGAGAAACACGCGTAAAAAACAAAACAAACGAAGTGAGTTGCAATTCAGTTACCAACACGCCGTGGCGTTAGCGGCCGTTTTTATTATGTTTTGTTGTTATTGTTGTGTGTTACGTTTTATTTTTATTTTGTTGTCGTTGTTGTTGTTGTTGCTATTTGTTTGTGGTCAGTGGTTTGCTTTGCTTTGCATAATAAACATAACAAATTGATTACAACAAACAAGTAATTGCAATTACCAAGATTGAGCCACAAAATACATATTCACATATATGGCCCACACACACACGCACACACACATATGTACATATGTACTATAAATATGTAATATGTACATATGTATGTTGAATTTGCACGGCGCCGGCCAAAAGTAGCAAGAAATCATGTATTATATTGATTTTCGGCATTATATATTAATGTATAACAACAAAAACAACAACAACAACTACTACTACAGCAACGGCAAAAACATACAAATTGTTACAAAAAATGTGGTACAACGTGCAAGCCACGGCTCTGGCATGTGTAGTATATGAAACGAGTAGAACGCTTTAATCTCGCCCCCCGATTGCTCTATACTCTTCGACACAGCTCTTCAGACGCTTTCGATGAAACTTCAGAATATAGTGAAGCGTAAATCAGTTCTAATTCGTGATAAACAAATAACTTTTTGGCACTAGGAATAAATTTTTGCATCAATCGTTTCTATGGCAGCTTATGTGATAAAGTGAACTCATTTCGGAATATGCACGTATTCAATGATTATATAAAACATTGAAACAAAGTTAAAAATTTCGAAATATCATAGCGCGCAAAAAAAATTGCCGAATTTGGTTTTGTTGTTTTCCTATTCTAAATTGCAACTTATAAAAGACTCATAGCAACAAAATGTGCTTTAACAAAGTATCTTCATAAACAAAAAAGTTATTCGAATAAAAGTGATTTACACACCGATCGTTCCTACGACAGCTATATGAAGTAATGTGATTATATAAAGTTTGTAATTAACTTGTGATATGCATATTTATAATTAATATATAAAGTTTGCTGTCCCTAGCTGTTATGGCCCAAAAGTTATTTGTTTTCTTTTTTTTTTTACTGGCATGTGTCGTCACGTCGATCATGCTGTCTCTGTCGACCCCTTCTGTGTGTCATAAACATCTAGCGCTAAGCCTTTCTAGTATGGCCTTTAAACCCTCGTGTGCAGGGTATAATGAACTGAAACTGGCAGCCAACTCGCAACACACACAAGCACACACACGCACACACACTTATGCAGAGGAACGTAGAGCGCGCCAACATGCTAAGCGCCAGAGGGCGGGGGGTGGTGGAGGGTGTTGCGACACCCCCCTGGGCTGTAACTGACAGCTGCCAAGTGCCAGAGCTTGTCGTCAACAAGTCTATCAAAAGCACGTTTGTCATTTTTGTTGCAATATACGCCCAGCAGGTGGCGGGTGGTCCGCCCAGCCATTCACACACTCCCTAACACACACACACACACATGAGCCCTCATGTATGGGTGTGTGTGTGTGTATGGGTGAGTGTGCAGCGCCTTTGTGTTTTGAAGTTTGTTTGAAATATTATTGTTTTGCTTATCTGTGTGCGCGTTTATGGGCTGGGGTACACATATGAGTGTGTGTGTGTATGTGTGTGCGTGAGAGGATAACTGTCACTCAGTGGTTTGTGCATTTTTATTTGCATTCGTCTGGTGTGCAAATATGCGTGCCAGAGCAAAAATCAATTGTTCTATGAACATAAGTAACTATGTATATATGTATGTGCATAGAAACATGCAGACATACAGACATACATATGTACATACATATGTACATAGATACTTCTATGCGCGGTTGTGGGAAATGCAAACAAACTTTTGGCAGCAAAAAATAATCACGCGATGAAGCCAAATTTGTGTGCTAAAAAGATCCCCGCAGAAAAGTTATTTATAAATGTTGAACATATGACATTTGGGGTGAGATGTAAAACTGAACATATTTTTTGCTGATAAGGGTTGACTAAATCTTCATTTAATTTTTTAATAAATATTTAATATTTACTTAAATTTATAACCTTGTTTGAGAGCTGAAAATGTCTTATCATATAATATTCTATATTTAAATCAAATAATTGATTTAACGGAAAATACAGTAAATTTAATAAGGTATAGCATTTAAAAAAAAACCAATACAAATATCATTTTTATTGATTTTTAACAAATATTAATTAAATCCCAATCCTTTGAAAGTAAGGACAAGTAGGGAAGTCATTTCGTGCTTTACATAATTAAATAAACCCAGCAAGTTACAAAAGTGTGCCTGTCCATTAAAAGTTATAAAAGTTGACTAAATCTTCATTTAATTTTTTAATAAATATTTAATATATTTAATTTTAACTTTGTTTGAAAGCTGAAAATGTCTAATCACATAATATAATATTATATTTTTAAATAAAATAATTAATGCAATCTTCATTTAATTTTTTAAATAAATATGAAATATATTTATAACTTTGTTTGAAAGCTGAAAATGTACAAGTATAATCACATAATATAATATTTTATATTTAAATAAAATAATTGATTTAATTGAAAATACAAAAAATTTAAAAAAGCTATAGCATGTAAAAAAACCAATAAAAATATAATTATTCATTGATTTTTAACAAATATTAATTAAATCCCAATCCATTTCATGCTTGCCATAATTAAATAAACCCACCAAGTTACATACATAAGTCTGCCTGTCCATTTGTCTATTCTTTCTTCTCTATGCATTAGCTTAATAATTTCAGAAAGAAACATAGGTAGAGCTCCCAAGCTTGATAGACAGGTTCTAAGTTCCGCTCTTTCTAGTGTTGTGTACCCAACAAATCAAACACATAAAATTTAAAAAAAAAATCAAAATTGTGGTTTTTTAGATTGGTATTGAAATCTAAATCAAAAATGTGTATTTTTATAAGTTAATTATTATTTTACGTGGAGTTTATGCAAAAAAAATGCAAGTTTTAGAAAAATTCAATTCCCAAAAAAATACATATAATGATATAATGAGCTGAACAACTTTCTACAGACCATCTATAAAGGAGATCAAGTGAGACCAAATAAACGCCAAGTTACTAAAAAAAAAAAAACAATGATTAAGGATTAGCGCTGGATTCGATTTCATTTTCACGAATTTGTTAGCTAAAAAAAAAAATCAAATGGATCAAATTTTTAAATTTCAAATGAACTTCATTTTATGACTATACTAGGAATACCTAAGGAAACCATTCAGTAATTGATCATTTACGCTAAATAACAATTTACATCAGGAAAGTGATGCAAGCCTTGAATTGCAAGGTTTAACAATCGATTCTCAAAACGAAATTATTGATTTCTGCTTTAAAAAAAATTAGTTAAGAATTAAAGCGATTTACGTACATTTACATCGCTTGCAACTCTTCTAATGCTCGACTTTTTAATTGTGTTTATTATTTATCAAATACAAGTATAGTAGGTCTACTTATACTATATGTAGTTCAGAAGGGGCTACGAATATTTCATTACTGAATACCATTTTGCAGCATATTTTGTAAAGCATACAACATACGATATAGCTAAGTGCACTTCAGCGTTCGAGATCTCAAAAAATTGTAAATGCAGAGACGTTTGGCCTTTTTGCAGTCTTTCTTGCCTTCCTTCCCACCTCCTCGGCCTAAGTAGTTACTCGAGTATGTGGAAAACGAAAACCCTGTAGCTCCATTGAAATCGAGTTTTTGCTTATTCATGCATTTGTTGCACCCGCACGAGTCATTGTTAGACCAACTCACACACACACACACACACACACACACACACACACACACACACACACACTTACATTTGTGCACAATCATTCATGGCTGTCGATGAGGTGGTGGGGAGAAGGGGCCTTCCCCGGCTGTGTACCCATTGCTGCATGCATAACAAGCTTGACTTGTTCGGCCCGCCCGACATTTCAGTGCTGAGCTCAAGTATCTGTTGTGTTTAAATGTTGGCACACGACCGACCATCACAGCTACATTTATAAATATGTTTGTGTGTGTGTGTGTGTGTGTATGTATTTGTATAGCACTCATTGTACATTTTGTGGGAATGTGTGTGTGTGCGTTTTTGTTTTGAGAGTGTTGTGCTTCACTCCAAGTGTGCACTTTCACTTTCCATGCTGCCAAAATGGGTAACAGCAGCATAAAGTAGCCAACGACAGTCATGCCAATGGCCAAGCTAACCGACTCTGTCTCCCCCTCCCCCCTTTCTCACTATCACACGCTGCTGGATTGACTGACGATTTAAAATCATGTACGAAAATTGAGCAAACACAATACTTAGGAGTATAATGCGGACATCGGAGGGGAGGAGCTCAGATGCCTATTATATATGCATTGCATTTTGTGATTTTAAAATTCAATAACGGACTGAAAGAGGTCGAAGTGGAGTGGGAATTGGCAGCGTTTAGCTTTAGCTTTGTCAGTCTCTTTAAGGAATATTCGATTGGGTATTGAATGCACAACCAGGTTTTCTTATTTCTTGCAATTACAGCAATGGAAAAGCATTGATTGACTGATTTTCATGATTTTCTGCTTTCCTCCTCCATTGCCAATATTAAACGTTTTTATATCGTACACTAATTTGCATCTAAACAGGCTATTGGAATGCAATCTGAAAACATGTCTGTTGCGACAAATGCTCCAGCTAAATGCGAAAAAATTGGCATAATCAATGCGTCATGCATACTTATAGATGAAACCCACATACTATAGCCCATGAAGTTTTGAAACTCGACAAATTGTGGGCTACGACGCTTGACGTTGATCGATTGTGGCTGGAGCGGAAAAAGTCTATCAATCAAAACAATTGCCGAGTTAGTGGGATAAGGACAAAAACATTGTGGATGCAACTTCGATTAAATTCCATTAAAATCCAATTTATGAAGCCGCCTGAAAAATTGATTCAGAATTTGCTGATTCATATGCGACGCCAGACTTGGCCAAACTTTTGCCTCTTTACTAAATCGACTAGA